CCTCAGGACATGTGTCCAAAAATTAAGATCTTTGTGCACAAACTGCAATCTGGCTTTTTATGGTGGTTTTGAAGTAATGGCTTCTCCTCCCAGAGTAACCTTTCAGCTCATGTCGGTACAGAACTCGTTTTACTGTGGATAATGATACTATCTTACCAGTTTCAGCCAGTCTCCTCTAGACTGATGCATTATATGAAACATGACATCTAACAGCATGCGATTTCCAAATGACTTGTTGAATGTTGTTTCTGGTTCTCTTTGTTTTAGTCATGGAGCAGGACTGGAACCTTCATGGTTTCTCATGGGTAAGTTAATTAATACCCATCATAATCTGTTCCTTTATGGTTCCATCATGGAATAAAATACAACACTGCCCTCTAGTGACCATTAAATGGCATTTCACCCCAGTTGACAGAGAGAGCTGATGGGAGTAACTCTGTACTAGACATTCCTTTCATGATGTGCACCCACTATCTGAAGTCTTTGATTCACCTTGAACACAAAACAATTACTCTCTTTACTCGGATTCTTTGCTTAGCAGCTCATTAAAATCCAAGTGGTAAATTATTCACTATTTTTCTCAGGTTCTCATCTATCATCTGAGAGTAGCTGGAGCTGTAAATGCCGAGCATTTCAGTTGGGCTACCTGGACCCAGCCCATTGTCTATCATATCACAGACAGACTTAAAAAAAGCTTTAAGTCAGAGCCATAAGAGAACCGAACACTGCCGCACAATGACACTGTTCTGGAACGATGTCACCATCAACACTAGAACACTTACTGATATGTCTACAGAACACTGCACTGACTTTCATATTTATATCTACATTTACATTTTATTTGTACTTGTGTGCATATATTTCCTGTTACACTAACAGTAACCTGGGTTTCATTCGGCAATATCCTGGACTGCAGTATCTCAACTGCTATACATAACCGCAAAACTATACTTGCTGATTTTGTATAATATTCTTTTTAGTAATAATAATAATAATAATAATTGATACTTTATTGATCCCCGTGGGGAAATTGTCTTTACGCCTCCCTCAAGCCCCTGAGGCTGGGCTTGAACCGGCGACCTTGTGATTACAGGCACACGGCTTAGCCCACTGAGCCACACGCTGCCCCCACTTTAGTACTTTAGTAGCTTTATATTTTTCTATTTTTAATTGATATTTGTTATGTGTGGAGGCACTGTAAGGAATGCTACTCAGTTTCTTTGTACTCTGTGCAATAACAATAAAGGAATCTTACCTATGTGGTTAAAAAATTTCAGAGTAAGCTCATGTGCAAAAAAAATCTTTAATGTAAAACCAAAGACAACTTTCAAAATTAATCAGACATGTTAGAAGTATGTCTAGATTTTCAGATTAAAAAATTAAGAGTTAAAAATGTCCACAATAAGGCCTGCGTGGTATTTCAGTTCAAAGTCCAACAATCACATTTTAACCGGAAAAATTAAGTGGAAAAAGTAGGCACGTAAAGGTAACCATGGAACGGAAGAAAAGGGAAAAAATGCAATGCTTAGTGATACTGTGCGTAATTTAGAGGTCTTCGCTGTTGAGGGAAATAGCTTACTGGGTGAATAAAGTATTAAACAAAGGCAAGATAAACTTCAGTGTATCAAGGTCTGTTTTGGTGCTGCTGCACTCCAACTTACAGCTATAGGATGAGCTGAATGACTGATTCCTATGTTCAATTCCTGCTGGACCATCAGTATCTTAAGAATTTTTTTTAGCAAAGGCAATAATATGAAATACACAGCATTCAGCTGTATGAGAAAACCATAAACCTCACAGAATACTGTGACTTAGCAGGTTGACACTTTAAAGTGGCCCACTGACCCGTGTGACAAAATCAAACGTAGATAATATCACCGTTACTGTAAAGGTAATAACGGTGATGCATTGCACTTTAATAGAGCTTTAAAAGGTACGTTTTTTCCAAGCAACTATGCAGTGCAGTCAGATGAATATATTTGGATACCGGCCTTTAAATTATTCAAAACTAAAACAGCTTAAAAGATGTTTGGCTTCAGAGACTTTGGCGATAAAGTATAACAGCCTAAGACTGTAATATGCTGGCAACATTAAACGTGCATATAGAAAACTGGAATTAAAATGATTTTACAGATGGAAAAAATACGACGTCAGACACGACTCCATCTGCTTACAGAGTGGAATAAACTGTTAATTTTGCCAAAGATGACTGAACAAACGGATGTTTTGGCCTGCCGTGTTCAGAAGTACCAAGCATGCTGGTTTCATTATAGGAAGACGGCCACCCAGAGTACGGTGGCATTCACTAGGGGGACAAAGGGCAGGACGGTGTGTGGGTTACTACAACAGGAGGGATCACGAGAAACAGTCAGATGGTAACACAAGAGTCACCTGTGGGAGGTTCTTGTCTTCTGTACCTGCCCCGCCCCCTTCCCCAGACAGACCACCAGTCTGCCCAAGAGTCAGTTACAGTGGTAGCCTGCATCAGCCAATCAGCCTTGCGATGCCAAGGGTGGGCGTGGCCTACTCAGCTCCTCAATGAACCGGAGGGTCTCGAAACGTCACAGTGCCATCTTGCATCCCGAAGTAGACCCGCTCCGCCATGCCGACGAAGAGCCCCGTCTCCACCACGCCTGGAAGGAGGTGCAAAGGCTGGCGGTCATTACGCTGTGACCACACTACAGTCTCTCCTTATTCCGATACCTTGAATGCTAAGAATGGGCATGTAAATAACCTTCACAAGAGCTTTGGTGCTGGACAGAACCAGAGACAAGGCAAAGGTGGACAAATCCGTAAAGTACAAATCCAGACCAAGATTTTGCTTCAACCAACCAGTTGAGTATAAAGAGCCACAATCACAGAGCAGTCCCTTGGATGGTTGAAACAAAATCCTGGTCTGGATTTGTACTTTCTAGATCTAAACTATCCACCTTTGCTCAAAGGCAACACAGAAGAAATGACAAGCCAGCTTACCTGGAATCATCTTGATGGCCATATTAACCTCCTTCCAGTTGTGCACGCTCTCAAACTTCCAGTCCAGGATGAAGTTGCTATTGTCGGTCACCACAGGACCCTACGAGGGGAAGCCCTCATGAATAACCCTCAAACTCATGGACGGGATGTAGACGGAGACTGCTCCAGCCCTCATGAATGACCCTCAAACTCATGGACGGGATGTAGATGGAGACTGCTCCAGCCCTCGTGAATGACCCTCATACTCATGGACAGGACATAGACAGAGACTGCTCCAGCCCTCGTGAATGACCCTCATACTCATGGATGGGACGTAGACGGAGACTGCTCCAGCCCTCGTAAATGACCCTCATACTCACGGCTTTGTTGATACCCATCCGCAGCACGGTTTCCCCGCCAAAGCGGCGAGTGATCACCCTGGAAACTGGGACATACGCCATGGGGATGACCTCGATGGGCACGCCCTTTTTCCACTGCTGTCCTAAACACTTTGAGTCCTTCCTGCCCAGGAACATGAGGACCTAGTCAAAGTCATTCCCGCTGTTCCTACTGTACTTGCGCCAAAGCAAAGCAAAAACGTTTTTAAAACCCAGTCATTCGTTTCACTTTGAGAAGATGCCCACACGCACCTGTAGTCCGCAATGACAATGAAGTGTTTGGCACAATCCGCCACAATTTTCTCTTGAGCCAAACAGCCACTGAAATAGATAAGTATCCTAAATTTAAGCAGTACCACGGATTTCCACACTTTCCCCCATCAAGTTCCCCCGTTACATACTAGCCCGTTGATAAGAATAAGATCCTACAGCAAACTTTCTGACATTATAGCTTTGGTTCAATAGAAACTCCAAATGATGATGTGGTGAATTATTACCATCTGTCACCCTATCCCAACGATGTCACTAATCTAACTTTGAAAACATCACATTCACTGGGATCACAGCAGTAGCTTATGATACAGGGTTTTTTTTTTTCTTAGCTTGGGTGCAGGAAGGGAGGGGGGATGAAAAAGTCTGACTTACCCGCCTCCCTTGATGAGAGTGAGTGAAGAGTCTACTTCATCTGCGCCATCGATCGCCACGTCCAACTGTGGATGCAGGAAGTGAGGACACTGTGGGCTTGACCATACTCAAAGCCATTAGAGTTGGGTAATTGAGGCCCAGAGAGTACAAGTCCAGACCGGCATTTTGTTTCAACCAACCAGTTGAGTACTCTGTGACTGTGACTATGCTGAGCTAGTTGGTTGACAAAATCTTGGTCTGTAATTTTACTCTCCGGACCTGAATTACCAAACTTTGTAAGACATCTACATCAATACATACAACAACAAAGCAGTCCACAGATCCACGTCTCCCAGGACAAAAGTGTTGCCTAAAATCAATGTATTTGCAGAATGGCTTTTTCTCAAACCACACCAAAACTCCATAACATTCCCAACAACGCAGAACACCACCAAAGCGTGTATGCATCACTGGGGCGGGGGGCGGGGGGGGTCACCCCAGATCAATCAGCCTACCTCTGGGTGTCGATCCAGGTCGGACAGGGGGAGACCGTGCTTTAGAATCAGCTGACGCGCCTAAAGAGGAAAGCAGCGTCACTTTAGTTATATCCGTCACTTTAAGGCTGATCACACCGAATGCAGGGACTGATATGGCCTGACGAAGCGGCAAAGACAGGGACCGACCTGAAAGGACGTGGGGACACAGACGATCTTCAGCTTCTCCTGCCGGACCCTCTCCGCTGAAACACAGACGAGGGTCCATTACTACAGGCGGGCCACATACCCTCCATCCCAAAGACATTTTTTTTTATTCCCACATCAAATTTTCAGAATAAATGAAAATTATAACTCCAACATTGTTATGAAAATATAAAGCAAGGTGAAGATCTACATTATTACCATGAACAAAAACAATATTGTCAAGTATCTCACAAATTGCTATTTATTGTTAAATCCTCAATCAGTTAAATCAAGTGGACGGTAGAGACAGGTCGGTACCAACATTGTGTGAGTACCGTGAGTTTAGAGGGGCCTGCGGTTTGGGACCGATTTAAGTCATACCAATGCTGAAACCAAACTTTCACCCGCGAGTTAAATGGCAGGCAAATTTCACTTTATAGGTCATTGTTAAATAATATGCAATCAATAATTGTCAGATACTTTCTAATAAATGTTAGTGTAAAAGCTAAAAAAAGACTATTTGCACCTTCGACATTTAAAGAATAATAGCTTATTCGAGGGGATATACTGGAACTACGGCTCACAGACTTTCTGATAAATCACAGAAATAAATGCATTTATTAAACGCTTCCTACCCAGTCTGTCGACTGCATAAACAATGGTGGAGCCGCTACCCACCCCAACGACGTGGCTGTCCTGCGGGGAGATAAAACATCCGTTACTCACCACTTCATCAGGCCTGTATCTGAAGAATTTAAGAATCAGTATCCATTACCACAAGTTACTAATCTGATCCTAGCTCGCATTGAACATATTAGGATGGGGGAAAAATCTATCACCACGACCTCCGACCTGCACTACTAAGCACCGTGCAAATGAGGCATAGGTCCACTTGCGCGAAGACAGCGTGCTGATTCCCAGCACTTAATGCATTTAAAAGGATGCATTAGGTTAGACCGAAATCTACATTTCTGTGTGCAAACTGCAGAAATCACCTGGATCGCCGTACAGTTACAAAAATAACAAACGGATGTATATTTAAAATCTGTTCTGTAAGCGAGTCATCGGCACCCAGGTAACTTAATATCATAGGTTTAAACTCATAGTAAACTAAAAAACAAAGTATTAAAGCATTAAGAATTACGATAGCAGTGGTATTCTTGTGTTTACAACGATCGAGCCCCTGTCACGTGCTCCGTCTAAACGGCCAACAGAGGCTTAAGTTTTGCGCAAACTTGTGTCAATGAACTTCAGTTCCAACCCGCCATAAAATAAAGCCGCAGCCTTAGACAGTTAGCCGTTTAGCTACCTGAACATGGTTATCAACAGCCGCGTAAGCGGCACGCTTCTTTGCCTCCTCGGCCATGGCGCCGCTGCAGCTCCGTCTGAAACACACGTGTCCCGAGCTGTAGTTCCCCGATATTACCCGAGTGTGTGACCTCAAGCCCGACGCCGCTAAAAACCCGCTCGGAACTGCCCTAAGGAGCCGCATAACCCTGCCCCTCATAACCAAGCTCCTCCACTTCAGGAAGTCGTTCAAAAATAAAGTAGCCTCGCGCTACTACGAGACTGGATCTTGGGAATTGTAGTTTTTAAGTTCTTGTGCTGCAGCCTACATTTCTCGAGATGCAGTTACCTTATTGCGCAACTATATTAAAGTTTTTTTAGTAAAAATGTATTGTTTAATCACTCAATCACATATTTATAATTACATATATGTAATTCTATATTTGCATTTGGAAATCTGACATTACAGTTGTCTATGGTCGATACACACAGGATTACCATCTAATGTCAAAAAGGACATTATCAGCTACGACTGGATTTATAAACTACCATTTCAATCAAAAGGACCCGGATTTCACTTTAGCGCTGAATTCTTGGTGTGTGCTGATTGGTCAGTCTCCTATAATCATGCATGTGTCACAAATGTGAAACAGCTGGATGAATCTTTCAATCAAGGAAACAAACCAGTCAAAGCACAAGAGGAACTGAACTACTTAGCCAAGCACAGGAGCCTTTCAGATTCTAAGCAGTTTGTAAAACCTGACGTAGCTCATAGTGTCCTTTCTGACATGAATTAGGTGGTCATTCTAGATACACAACATCTCTGACCCTCCGTCGGTCAGCAGAATGGATGCAGGTAGGTTTAAGCAACGCTGTAGTGAGGAAGAGCCGGGATCATAAATATGTATATTAATACTCGAATGGGAACCATAGAAGCAGCTCCAATTGTTATTTTTAACCAGCAGATGGCAATATTGATCAAGTTTTCAAATGCTAAAATGAAACTTTACCGGGTGTACTCGATTGTCCCAGCTCCCGCTGAAAAAAGTCAGCATACACCAGCATAGCTGGTTACCAGCATGACCAACACAATGCATGCTGGTTAAACCAGCATATGTTATGTTTTGCTGCTGGTGGCCCTGCACCATTAATTAAATATTGCTGGTGGACCAGCACCAAAGCAGCGTTAACCAGTATAGACCAGCATGGAAATCATGCTCGTCTGTTATTTTTTTCAGCAGGGTGAGCGCTCCTCGTCAACAAATGTGACCCAAGGTATTTGTCCTCAAAGCTTTAGATAAAGTTTAATGTTTAGCCGAGGAACTTGTTTTGCCTCAACTCTACCCAAACGTGCCTTGTGCTTGTCCTGGAAAGATTGCGTCTGTTAAATGTGATGTTTAACAAATGTGTCAACGAGCAGTGGTAACGTTTATTGATATCTGTGCAGGGATGAGTGAAATGAGCAAATTTCCGGCTCCGGTCTTATAGATAGACCTATGAACACTGCAGAACACCAGTTTCATTTTAAAAAGGTATATGTGTATTTTTATTTATATATATATATATATATATATATATATGGACTACATGCATTGAGCACAAGGATTAATACCTCATTCGCTTCCTTGGAGGCTCACTGGCTGGGAGCTCGTCCCTGACATCCACCCCGATTAGGGGGTGTACCTCTTCAGCTGGTGGCAAAGGTCTCCGCTATTCCAGTCATATTCGGTCCGGCCGATTCTGTCAGTTTTGGGCAGGATGCTGCCACCTACAGGCGCTGCTTAATGTTGCACCCCAAATCGAGGGAGTAGGGCCGAGCCCGGCCAGAAGCACAGAGCAGCTTGGGTTTCGCGATGCAGCAGGGTTGAAGTTCTAGGGGACCCATGCCATTGTTTTTACTTTCTTCCTGGCCTTTCTGATGTTCCTCTCGGCCATCTGTTCACCTGTAACCTGAGATGCACACGCGGACATTTTGGAGACATTAAGGCTGATGAAATTAAGGCTGATGACTGTTTATCTAATTTGCACTGACCCAAGTTGTATGGTACATTCAGGGGCGCTGTAAAGGGGGGGTAAACGATGACGATTCTCGGGGCCCATGACTGAGAGGGGGCCCAGAGATGCCCCCAATAAAATTGTGTTGGGGGCCCTGTCAAGATTCTTTTCATGGGGCCCAAAATCCTTAGCAGCGCCCCTGGGTACATTTCATGGGTATTCTAACCAGAGTGGATATCAAAGCTTGAAAATGGAAACGTGAATGCGAAGGGAATAACCAGTTTAAATGACAGATTAAAATCTGTCTTTATATCCCTTCAGGTCAAAAGGTGAGATTTTGGACAGTTCACTTTCCTTTCGTTCTTACGCAAGATTGCCGGGATTCATCCTGCTCTTTCAAAACATCACACTGAAGCCCTTGTAAATTCTTCGATTAGCTCCCAGATTGACGGCTGCAATGCTAATCTACCTGGTGACCCTAAAAATCATCTCAGCAGACTACAAGTCATTCCAATCTCCGCTTCCCCGTCATCACCCCGATACTCATTCAGCTTCCCCGTCATCACCCCGATACTCATTCAGCTTCATCNCACTCTCCCACTGCTCTCCTACTTAATGTTCGTCCGATTCAGAGCTGCTTCTCGCTGTATGTGGACTTTGCAGATGCATAGGGTCCCTGCAGCCACTAGGGGGCTCCCAAGATGCAAATTCAGCCTCAATATATTTGGAGAGAGTTAAAATTACCCGTCTTTATTTGTAGCCAGCTACGCCCCCTCATGTGTTTAGTGAAGCATTTATATGCTTAAAAATGAAATATAGGACATAAACAAAACTAAGCTGTGATGATAGAGAAACTGTGGCTCGTGTTTGTGAAAATGCTGCATCTGTTGCCTTTGTGGACATAGAGGAGCCTAATTGTTTACCTTTCAGTATCATTTTCTGTAGGTTTGAATCGCTTGGATCCACTTGAGATCTTAAATTGAATTTTAGATTCACAAATCCAGCCTGTCTTCTTAAAGTGTAACAGATTGATGTGTCGTCATGGATAATCTTAAAGTTGTTGAATCGCCCCCCCTCACTGTAGCTTTACAAAATAGCCCCCCCCATACAGAATCTCGCAGAGGGCCCCCAAAAAGTCTGAAACAGCTCTTCTCCGGTCCTCCTCAGCACAATGGGTGCTGCAGCCTTCAGCTGTGGAATTCCCTCCCGCTCCGTGTTCCCCCCTGCTCCGTGTTCCCTCCCGCTCCGTGTTCGGCTGCTGCACTCCATTGTGACATCTAAAGCATTTCCACTCGCCTGACCTCCACTCACTGCCTCTTCTGTCTTAACCTGTGCCTTTGCATTGCTGTGTTTATCTGCTTTACTGTGTTATTTATTTTCTCTTTGGTGACCTCGAGTGTTTTGAATGGCAGCAATAAAAATATATTTATTATTATTATTATTATTATGCGATACCATTGGCTGCATATGTGCATGCGATGCCATTGGCTGCATATGTGCATGTTATGTTACTGGTTATCATTATGATATCATTGATTATAAGTAATGGAGGCTTTAATCACCAATGAAAAACAAAGTCCCCTAAGTTATAGCCACGAGGCTGAGGGGGCTGTTGTTCCTCTTGTGCCCCGTCTGCTGCAGGATGAGGGCGGCTGCCATCGCGATGCATTATTAATGGGACAGAGGTGTGCAGGGCATCTGCTGTGCGGCACATCATTAGCGGCTCCCCCGTTTCCGCCTCCACCTGACCGCCTGGGTGTGTCACAGCCGCGGTTGGCAGATGCAGACCGTCCCCGCTGAGGCCGGGGACGGCCACCAAGACAGCCACCCGCAACCGGAGACATACCGGGCTTCACGGCACGTTCATCCGAAATATGCGAATCACATCCGTCCATCTCCTGTGACCTGTGAGCGCTTACCCAGCCCAGGGATGTGGGCCGCTGAAGTTTATCCCAAGAGGTGCAGGAAGGAACCTGTGGAATGATGGAGAGAACATGCAGGACGCCTCACATGCAAAGCCAGGGACAGGAATCAACCATCTAGCCATGAGCCCCCCGCGCTCCCTGCCAGGCCAGGCTCTTAAACACACTGCAGGGAACAAGATTTTAGCTTCACTCCTCTGTCTCTCAGCATTACAGACAGAAAACCTCCAAATAATGAATTTAAGAAGAGGAATGAATTTAAGACCCAGGCGAGACAGGGAGGGGGCGGGAGGAGCTCGACCCTCCGCGGAAGGCGTCTCGCTGAGAGGTGACAGGGACGGGCTGGTTCCTCGCTCTTCAGGAGCACCGTCGACAACGCAGACACGCCGGAAACGCGACAGGGTGTTACAGCACGTCAGCGTGGGGCTACACTGCCCCAGTTTAGCACAGCCCTTCCAGGTGAACTCTTTCCATAACTTTTTGTCTTAGGGAATTCATCCATCTGTCTTTCCCTCTCGTCCTCTGTTCTCACACTGCATTGGGTCATGCCGTAGCTAATTCTTAGCCTTATAAATGTAAAATAATCTCTTAGTTACTTTTTATAGTCATTGTTGTTGGTTTTACTACAAAAGATTTAACGCAAGTGTAACTAACAATCGCTGCATGTTTATGATGCTGAGGGTATTTGGTATTTGGGTTTATAGAATAAAATGTAAATAAAGCATTATAGATATTTTATTAGTTTTATTAAAAGTAAACATTCACATGTAATTATATCAGACAACCAGTTTAATCACGTCATGAGTCTTAACGTTTTCTTTTGCTATTAATATCTATAAAGGATTTTTTTATATATTTTTTGCAGTCTACCACTAGATGGCACTATGAGTCTTAACTGCCGGACGGCCGAAGCGTTAAACTACTGCATATACTGATTTAATAATATTTTCTCAACTGAGCTTTCTTTTGAAATGGTCACTATTTGTAAAATATTCATATAATCCTTTTAATAAGTCTAAACCCCTTGGACAGAAATACACTTCATCTACATTGCAGGGTTTGCACCAGTGCAAGCGTATGGCACCATATTAGGTTATGTCACTAGAGCATCGCCTTCAAGCTTACGTAGGGAAGGAAATGAAATCACTGAAAACACTGGAAGACTTTTCTGTTGCCGATCAAATAAGTGGAACACGCCACTGCAACATGCCAAACTGTGGGAAGCACCACTGTAAGAACTCAAATCTGCTACATTTCACTGCAATGCTGCAAACCTTGGGATACACCAGAGGACCACTCTAATCAGTGGAATACATCACAGAAATTCTCAAATTGATAGAATTCATGTTTGTAGCTGTCACTGGAAGACAACCCTGTACCATTCCAGACACTGCACCATGTAACTGCAGTAGTCCAAATTCTGGAATGCATTATTGTATTGCTCAAAACACTGGAACATATCACTTGACCTCTCCAGGCACTGAAAGGCATTCCTGCACCACTGCACACACTAGATCACATTACTGTGACTCTGGAACACAACCCCGTACCACTCAAGTACTACACTAATTGTTTTATCATGCTTCAAAACACCTTTGTTAAATCCTTAAGGAT